TCCAGGCTGAGAGAGAGAGATTTTTAACCAGTGAGGGAATGAAGGGTTATGGGGAAAAACCAGGAAAGTGAAGTTGAGTTCAGATAAGCCACGATGTCCTTGAATGACCGAGCACACTCAATGGGCTGAATGGCCTACTTCTGTTCCTATGTCTTACAGTCTTGTTGGTTGTGGCCCACTGCAAAAGTAACCAGCCACTTATCACTTTCAACCTGGATGTTGTTTAATTGGTGATTTGGTCTAGGAAGCTCCATCAGGTCATCTGCATCGATGCCCTCTGGCTTCACCCAGAAGAGCAAGGGTAGCACGCACCAACCTAACTAATGCATGTCACCATTCCTTCACTGTCACTGGACTGAAATCCTGAAACTCCTTTTCTAGTACGTCTATGGTACATTCATTACAAAGCCTGCAGTGGTTCACAAAGGGCCAACGCTACATTCCAGTGGTTCTTGGTGACAGAATTAGTTGAAGTCTGCTTTGATGCCAAGTGCTGTCCCTCTGGCCTCACTTGGAGATTTTCAGCTCTTTGTGTCCATGTGTAGACCAAGGCTGACATGAGGTCTGGAGTCAGAATTATCCTGATGGAACCCAAACTTATTGGTAAATAGGTGCTACTTAATAGCATTTTGGATTACTTCATAGAATCCCTACAGTGTGGAAACAGGCCCTTCGGCCCAACAAGTCCATACTGAATCTTGGAGCATCCCACCCAGCCCCGGCCTCCTATAACCCATTTAATCAACACATCCCTGAACATGGGCAATGTAGCATGGCCAATCCACCTAACCTGCACATCTTTGGACTGTGGGAGGAAACTGGAGCATCTGGAGGAAACTCACGCAGACACAGGGAGAATGTGCAAACTCCACACAGTCGCCCGAGTAAGGATTGGTGTAGGTTAATGGATGATAATTGACCAGGTTGGATTTGATTTTTTTTTCAGATAGGACATAACTCAGACTTTCCCATGATTTATTCTTATGCATTCACAGGATGTGGGCATCATTCGTGTGGCCAGCATGTATTGCCCATCCCTAGTTCACCCTTGATATGGTGGCCTGAACCTCTGCAGTCCTTGCAATGTAGGTAGACCCACAATGGCGATATATTTCCAAGTCAGGATGGTGTGGATTGGGAGGAAATGTGGCGGTGTTCCTTTGTTTACTGCCCTTGTCCTTTCTAAGTGGTAGAGGTCACAGGTTTGAAAGGTGCTGTCTAAGTGAATTTCTGCAATGCATCTTGTAGATGATACTATGCATTGTAAGGTGTGAATGCTTAAAAATGTTGGATTGGGTACCAGTTAAATGGGCTGCTTTGTCTTGAATGGTATCAAGCTGCTTGAGCATTGTTGGAGCAGTCAGTTAGATGGCATTGTTATAGCTATACTGGAATGGGTGAGACAGCTCTTGATGTGTTGGTATCTGCACCGTTTGTTTTGTCCCTTGAATTCTGCCATTTCCTGGTGATTCTTGGAGTGAATCATTGAAGACTACAAGATAGAGAAAGATCACTTATTCAGCACCTTTGGCTGAAAATGACGGTAAATGCTTCAGCTATGTCTTTTGCACTGAAGTGCTACACTCTGTCATTGTCGAGAACAAGGGAGGGTGAGAGGGCCTGCTCAGTGACTGCTTGTCCTGAGTAGGTCTCCCTACTGATGGTTAACAAGTTGCTGCATTCTTGATAACGTAATTTCAACTGTCTGTTTCCCTGTAGAGTTTCTGTAAAAAGTAGGCGATTAGAGTCAAAAAGCAATGCAAATTCTTATGTGGGAGGAAGTGGATTTTCAATGAAATCAGTTCAGTTCTGGAAATCTGTCAGTTGCCTTCCTTTGACTGAGGAGAAACCCTTGTCTGCTATTCCCGAAAAGATAGCTTTGTGAAGATGGGTTACACTCTGAGTGATGGTCCTATAGCATTCTCTATCATAGCTGTCGAGGCCAGGTCGCTGAATATATTTATGACAATACATTTCTAGACACTGAAGGTGTCGAGAGTATGGGGAGATGGTGCGAGTATTGTTGAGATAGAGGCTGAGCTGTGATCATATTGAATGATGGAATGGGCCTGATAGGATGAGTGGCCTACTGCTGCTCAACATTCCCTCTAATTTTCTTACCAGCTGTGCAGACCTCCAAGGCCAGTGTGCATCAGAAACTTTTGTGACTGAAGTCAATGGCATGATTGGTGTGCCGATGCCCATTGCCATGCAGGGAACATCAGAGCAGCTGTGTGCACTCACAGCTTAAAGATTGTTGCTCTAACTCCAGTTCTGTGTTTCTGAGACCTAAGCTTTGGGGACTGTACAAAGTCCTGGCCAATATTTTAGCTTCACCCATCACAAAAACTTTTTTTTTTTTTTTTTTTGTTATCTGAAAATAAATACATTTTTAAAAAATACATGAAACTTCAGTTCAAACTGGCTTATCTGGTGATCTAGCAAGATAGTGTGGTCATTATTTCTTTACTGTCTGTGTGTGCTTGCTGTGCACAATTTAGTTGCATTCTCTACAGTACAAGAGTGTAACTTCATACTTGGTTATAAAGTACTTTGGGACATCCTGGGGTCACGAAAGGCTATATATTAATAAACACAAGTTTCTTTTTGCTGACTTCACTGTCATGACTCACCATTGCTCACAGGCCACTTGGCACCTCTATGCAAAAAATCCAACATGATATGGTGCACGGAAAATCAGTAAGTAGCAAGAATTCAATCAAAGTGAAAGGGCTGTTCTGGTGGTGTCCCTACCCCTGGGTCAGAGAGCCTGGATTCAACTCCCAACTACACCAGAGTTGTATCATAATCTGTCTGAACAGAGTAAAAATATCTTCAGTCACGGTGAAAGCTCTGAATTTTCAAATGAACCTGTGCTGTCATGGTTTTGCTCCATATGATTAACTGAGTTTTATGAAAAGGTGTACTTGTTTTCTAGCCTCGTGTCCTTGCTGGACAAATACACAAGGACGAGGAATAGGCTGTTCAGCCCCTCAAGCCTGCTCTGCTGTTCAGTATTATGGTGACTGATCTTGTGGTGGTCCATCTGTTTGTAGCCTCAACTCCACACTGCTGCCTACCTCCTGTAGTCCTCTACTCCTTTGACAATCAGAGTTCTATCTAACTCAGCCTTGAATCTATTCAGCCTCCACCGCTCTGAGAAAGACACCACAGACAAACAACCCACAGGGAAGAAGTTTCTCCTCATCTCCATTGTAAATGGAGACTCCCTGTTTTCAAATTGTCCCTTGTTGCTGGACTCCTCCAACAAAGGGGGTAATATCTATGTATCCATCTAGTCTTGTCCCTTTGGAATCTTGTATGTTTTTGGTAAGATGATCACCTGTGATTCTACTAAACTCTGGTGAGTAAAAGCCCAACCTTTCCACGTATGCTAGCCCCTCTTCCCAGGAATTATGCACATCTGGAATGCGAACACGAGCGACAATGTTGGTGGATTCTGAATTGACCTTCCATTTCCTACTGGTAAATAAATATGTGCTTGTGTTCAAACTGAATAAATCCAGCAGCTGAAGCAAATACACAGCCCATTAAATACCATCTGCACCCTGCAGCTTGCAAGCTTCCTTTTAAATTAAAACAGCATTAGTTAAAATATTACATGCATTAAAGACGTTTTACACTGTTTTCTTACCTTCAACAAAAATCCCCGTAAGACTTGAGTTAATTTAGTCAGAGTTAATTGTTAATTTAGTGAATTGTTCAGGGGGGCAGAGGCTGAACTGAGTAGAGTGTTTAGTTACAACAGACAAAATAAAGGCAAGAGAAATAAGCCGAGGATGACGCTCTGACTTCCTAATTTTCTGGCCTGATTTGCTGATAACTACGTTCATTTCGTTTGTTCTGGCTGCTCTTTGGAATCTTATCCTTGTGTGTTTTCTTTGCTTATTGATTTAAGGGCTGTAATGCTGTTCGTGAATCCCCATCTCTCTCCCACCACTGACAGGGCATAAGTCCGGAGTGTGATGGAATACTCTCCACTTGCCTGGCATGGGTGCAGCTCCCAACGGCACTCAACAAATTTGACACCATCCTGCTTGGTGCACAATCCTTAAACCTTCATTCCCTCAAAATACAGTGGCAGTAGGATGTACCATGTACTAGATGCACTGCAGCAATTCACCGAGGCTCCTTCGATAACAACTTCCAAACCTGCAACCTCTTAACGCCTGGATGGACAAGGACAGTCCACACTGCCCTGCCTTGGAACATTATCACCGTTCCTTTGCTGTCACAGGTTTAAATCCTAGAAATCCCTATTAGCGCTGTGGGTGTATCTACCCTACCTGTGGCTCAAGAAGGCAGATCACCGCCACCAATAAATGTTAGCCTTGTCAGCAATACATACATTGCAAGAATAGAGATTTTTTTTTAAATGTGTTTGGAAGCTGTTAAATCATGGGAGCTGACTATCTCTATCTGTAGCACTAGCCTTCAATATTAATGCCAAGGTACTGTCAGGGGACCAGAGCCCGGGTGTTCTGCTGTTCCTTGATTATCATATGGTGTGGTGTAAATTGATCTGGCTAAAGACTGGCTTCTGGTAATCCTGAGGAACTTTTGGAGGGGTTTGTCATGCATCACCCAAGAGTTGGTCAGTCTCAGGTTCAGAAACTGAACGAAAAGGCTATAGAAATGCAACCTTTCTACCTTTCTTAGTTGTAGGTCATAGAAATGAATCTTAGAATCCCTACAGTACAAAAACAGGCCATTCAGCCCATCGAGTCACACCAACCCTCCAAAGAGCATCCCACACAGACCCAGACCCAGCCCCAGCCCCCTACCCTATCCCCATAACCCTGCATTTCCCATGGCTAACCCACCTAAGCCTGCACATGCCTGGACACTGGGCAATTTAGCACGGCCAGTCCACCTGATCTGCACATCTTTCGACTCTGGGAAGAAACCAGAACACCCGGAGGAAAAACACGCAGGCACAGGGAGAATGTGCAAATCCACAGCTAGTTACCCAAGACTGGAATTGAACCAGGGTCCCTGGTGCTGTGAGGCAGCAGTGCTAACCACTGCACCACTGTGTTGCTCAGATGTCTCCAGGTATGTTGTTACTTTAAGCAGGTGACTGTCGTGTACATGTTTCCCAAGTCTCTCTTGCCATTTACGTGAAGGAGTTCTGTAAATTGGCTTTCAGTCATGTCTGAACAGCTCTGGCCGCTGGCTAAATATGAACACTGGGCAGAGAACTGTCACAGGGCTTCATTCCATCTGACTGTTGGGGACCAGGAGGGAGGGAATTAATTCAAGCTCCTCTCCTTGCCCTTCTCTGTTCTAGCTACTGATAAGCTGCAACTAACAGCTTTCATTATGTGGTTTGAAGCCAATGCCACCACCATCCAAGCTGAGCATTTGGAGTTGTACTTATAGACAGTTGCGTCTTTGAGAAGCAAGGGCACAGAGGTATGAGTTAAGGGAAGGAATTACATCTAATCTGCAACCCCAGTGTCTCCAATCTGCTGTGCTACCCTCCTCCACCTAATTCTGTAAGATATTCTTTCACTGATGTGGGTGTCACTGACTGGGGCAACATATATCCTCCCCCCCCCGCCATCCCTAACTGGCCTGGAGAAGGTGGTGGTGAGCTGCATTCTTGAACTGCTACTGTCCATGTGCTGCAGGTGTACCCACAGTGCAGTTAAGGGAGGGGTTAGATACGCCACCAGGAGACCTAAACATGAGGTGTCCACAGGACTAGCATGCAGCAGGGAGCAGCATGTAATAGGCAGGGCTGCATGATCCTAAAACCAATGCACAGTCACAGCACACGTCCTGGCCCTCCTGTTGTGAATGGTGGTGGACAACCCAAGTGGAGGAAGAGGTTCCACAACTATCCCTGCCCTCAGTCATGGGGCAGACCAGTCTTATTGATGCCATCAGCCCAAAAATCTTTGAAACCTTTACTTCAGCATAAAGGGGGTAGTTTTCTCCGATCTCTGGCTGTCATTGTAGTCCAATCCATTGCTGCTATGTTCCCTTCTGTGGTTAACCTTGAATGAAATGTCTCCTCAACAGACTGAACTTCCCTTTACACCCTCGATTGGAAAGGCCCCTCCTTGCTGTAAGCTGCAGGCACTGCCTGGCCCCCAGTCAATGGAATCCAACTGTGTGATTTCTCCTCTTCCTGGAGGTTGAGAGGAGATGAGCGTGCTATTGGCTACGTGTATTCACAAAGGTGGCCACACCCCGTTGGGCAGTGGGTGTGGAACTGAAACCAATCCATGAGATGCTGGAGGTGTCCTCCATGTGTACAGCCCTGGCACCAAACAAAGAGCCCCTTCACCGCGTGGTGGCACACTGCACATCTACTGCCACCACGCCGACACCTAGCAACAGAAAGCACAGCAAATAAACAGGATATAAATATCTGTACATCTGGATTTGTTCATCTGTACTACACTCCCAGACCTGCCTTTTCCCCCTCTTGTTCTCTCCCTCCAGTGCCACACTCCCTTGGGAGCTGCCTTTTCTCTCCTGTCCAATGTTATTCCAGGATTTTTTGTTTTAGAAAGGAGTGGATTGGGAGAATCTGTTTCTGAGGTTAGAATAGATGGTGAGGAAATGGCAAAAGAATCTGAGCTAAGATAAGGAGAATAATTCTTTGATTCGGCGAGTTTCGATCATTTGAAAGGTACTGGCTGAAAGGTCCGGGGTCCAAAACTCCCAGTACCTTGAGGGCCTGAGGCTGTGCCACATTTACATTTTTGCAGGATTTTGTGAAGTTAGTGGAATAGACAGCTCTGTACCTGGAGAATACGAAGGACTGTGGGAATCCATTACATTTTTTTTACACCAGGGAGGGGTGTGTGTATGTGCATGTGTGTGGGGCATGGGTGGGTGGGTGTGTCTGGGCTGTGTGCATGTGATGGAAGCGAGTGGGTCATAGGGGGACAAGGGAGGCATGTATGTGTGTGAGGGGCAGTGTGGATGTGCATATGTGTTTGTGTGTGTAGGGGTTTAGGTCATGGCGATGTTGTATCTGTAGCTGGGGTAAGGACAAAACAGTGCTGGGATGAAGGGGGTGGGGGCGATGATGTGGGGCTGGGAGAGCGGGGATGTGTGTAATGAACAAAGTCATAGACGTATACAGCACAGAAACAGACCCTTCGGTCCAACTCGTCAATGCCAGCCAGATATCGATATAAATCTAGTCCTATTTGCCAGTATTTGGCCCATATCCCTCTAAACCCTTCGTATTCATCTACCCATCCTGCTGCCTTTTAAATGTTGTAGTTGTACCAGCCTCCACTACTTCCTCTGGCAGCTCATTCCATACACACACCACCCTCTGAGTGAAAAATTGCCCCTTAGGTCCCTTTTAAATCTTGCCCCTCTCACCTTAAACCTATGCCCTCTAGTTTTGGACTCCCTACCCTGGGAAAAGACCTTGCCTATTTACCCTATCCATGCCCCTCATGATTTTATAAACCTCTAATAAGGTCCCCCCCCCCCACTATCACTCCAGGGGAAAATAGCTCTAGCCTATTCAGCCTCTCCCTATAGCTCAAACCCTCCAACCCTGGCAAGGTGAATTATTGTAAGAAATTTCAGTTTTCACACACCCTGATCCTGGGCCTAATCTCCTGCAGTAACTTCCAAAAGGGAATTGTGGAAATTGATTGGGAAATCTGTAGCTGTTAAAGCCTGATGCAGTAACTCAGAATGCCAGTCTGTCTCCAGTGTGTCTGACCAGGAGGCCATCTCAATCATTCTAGCAACCACATGGAAATTCAATACTCACCCCATCCGGCCGTGTGATAAATACATTTTCCTGATCATTGGATGCTGTGGCTGGACTAGAAGCCAGAGCTTCTGGCACAGAGCCAGGGACACTACACACCACACCACAAAGTGTACTAATAACTGAAAGCATTTGCAGCGTAGTGTGTAAGAAGTAAAGCAGTGGGACCAAACGAGTAGCTTTTTGTAACAGAAATTAGGAGCAGGAGCAGGAGTAGGCCATTCAGCCCTTCGAGCTTGCTCCCCTTTCAATACGATCATAGCTGATCATCCAACTCAGTCCCCTGTTCCTGCTTTCGCTCCCCCCTCCCCGCCCCATCCCCTTTGATTCATTTAGCCGTAAGAACTATATCTAACCCGTTTTTGAAAGCCTTCAATATTTTGGCCTCAACTGCTTTGCAGTACAGACTTCCCCAGGGTTACCACTACACACACACAATGGGCCGAATGGCCCTTCTGCATGCTCGACAATTCTATGACTCAGCACCACATTTGTAATCACAAGTACCCTCAGTTAGGGTTACAGCTCGTCAAATGCTTTACCTGAACTACACCAAACTCATCCCCACCTCAGATTGGTACAGACCCCACCCCCCGCGCCATTGCCAACCGAACCACTGTGAGGATGTTGGGCAGTCCCCAACACTGCCATAGACACCCGACGCAGCTGGCAAACCCGCTATCCTGGGTTCACACCAGTGGCACAGTTCACTCACCTCTCGCACATCCAGCCTCGAGTGTTCATTGGCCGTTTGCAGTTGTTGCAGTTCACGTGCAGGGTGGTCGAAGCCTGGTTCAGGCATGTGATGGATCTGCATGTGCTCAGTTTGATCACCTCGTTGGCTACATTCCAAAGTTGGAAGCGTTGGAGGAGGTCAATGTAGGAGGTGTACCAGTGTTCCTGAAGTGTTTCAAAATAACATAAGATATAAATCCCACCGATTTAAGTATCTTCCAACAAGCAAACAAACTCCTTTCTTAAAAAAAAAACCAAACCATCCTAGGAATAGAAGCAGGCCATTCAGCCCCTCAAATCTGTGAACAGTTCGATAAATTCACAGCTTATCTGATTGTGGTCTTGGGTGCCCTTTCCTGTGTGTGTTCCCTGTAACTCTTGACTCCTTTGTCCATCAATCATCTCTCTAACTCAGCCTTGAATGTATTCAATCATTGATTCATTCATGGCCGTTTTAGGCCAGCATTTATTGCCCATCAGATCTGGAGTTATATATAGGCTAGACCAGGTAAGAATGGCAGATTTCCTTCCCAAAGAACATGAGTGAACCGGATAGGTTTTTACAACAATTGACAATGGATTCGTGGTCATCAGCAGAATCTTAATTCCAGCTTTTTATTGAATTGAAATTCTACCATCTGCCATGGCAAGATTCAAACCTGGGTCCTTTCAACATTATCTGGGTCTCTAGATTAAGAATCTAATGGCAATATCACTAGGCCATCTCCTCCCCATAAGCTCCAGCGTGAAAGAGAATTCCAAATACTAACCACCCGCATCTCAGTCTTAAATGGGAGAATCCAGCTTGCGGCCACTGATGTGGGAAGAGTCCACCTTGTTGTGGGGGTGCTAGTCGGATGATATGCCACCACTTGTTCTAGTTTCAGGGAGACATCCTCTCAGGACCTACCCTGTCATCCCACGTCACAACCTTTTATGTTTTAGTAATAAGACATAGGAGTAAAAATAGGCCGTTCAGCCCATCGAGTCTGCGCTGCCATTCAATGAGATCATGGCTGATCTGATAATCCTCAACTCCACTTTCTTGCTGTTTCCATGTAACCATTGATTCCCCCTTACTGTTAAAAAAATCTATCACAACCCTGAATATATTTAAGGACCCAGCCTCAACAGCCGTCTGCAGCAAAGAATTCCACAGATTCACTAACCTCTGAAAAGAAATTCCTCCTCATCTCTGTCTTAAAATATTCAACCCCTTATTCTGAGTTATGTCCTAGACTCTCCCACAAGGGGAAACAATCTCCCCACGTCTACCCTGTCCAGCCCCCTAAGAACTTTGTATCTTTCAATAAGGTCACCTGTCATTCTTTTAAACTCCAATGTGTGTAGGCCCAATCTACTCAACCTGTCCTTAGCTCTGCTCAAAACTGCCCATTAATTCATCAGTTCAGCACACAGGCATTCTTGGGATAATGGGGCAATTATAGATGATAGCTACAAGGATGCAGTGCTAATGGACCTGGTCTATTTGATAGAGGCTTCACCAGCATTCCCAGGGTTAGCAAACAGAAAATCTAGCCAGATTCCAGTTTGGGATCTTCTCCAAGTGATACTAGTTGAGGTTTGAGCCTGTCGACACTCAGGCCACACAAGGAGAGAGGGCATGTTTCCTAACACTTATTCAATTAGCAGGGCCATGGTAAAATAAGCTGTACCCAAACCGCACCCCCCCATAACCTTGAGCTGGTTGACATTGCTGTCTGTGTTCTGATTCGCTCCTCAACCCACTTCTCCGCATTGACAGACATTGCCTCCCTGTTCACCAACATCCTACACAGGGCCATATTCCAAACAAGGCCATGTCCCACACCAAGCCACATCTTCAATCTCTGCAACCTACTCCAGCCCTACAAGCCTCAAGGAACCTTGCATCCATCCAGCTCTGTCCTTTTTGCACAACCTCGACTTCCTTCGTCCCAAAATTAGTTGTAAACCCCTTATAAAGAATATAAGCTTTGGATCTTCTCCCAAACCCCCAAGCTCTCTCTCTAATCCCTTGCATTCTATAAAGATCTTCCTTAAAACAAGGTGTTCAGGGAGGTGTAGATTAGGTGGGTTATAGGGAGATGGGTCTGGGTGGGATTCTCTGAGGGTCGGTGTGGACTTGTTGGGCCAAAGGGCCTGTTTCCACATTGTAGAGATTCTATGAACTATGAACTATGTAACCCTTGCACCAATGCTCCTGGTGGTCTTCATTTCTCCTTCATAGAATCACATCATTTGTGCCTTTTATTTTCTATTCATTTTGTGGGATGTGGGTGTCGCCGGCTGGCCAGTATTTCTTGCCCATCCCTAGTTGCCCTTGAGAAGGTGGTGGTGAGCTGCCTTCTTGAACCGCTGCAGTCCTCCTGCTGTGGGTTGACCCACAATGCTATTAGGGAGGGAATTCCAGCATTTTGACCCAGTGACAGTGAAGGAACGGCGATATATTTCTGAGTCAGAATGGTGAGTGAATTAGAGGGGAACTTGAAGGAGGTGGTGTTCCCATATATCCCTTTACATAGCCGCACATGGGTGGGGTGCTTTCCTCTGCGAAAAGGCAGGTTGTTGTTGTAGGGAGAGATTAACAGAGACAAAACAGTGGAGTCAGTTTGTCCTGATGATGTTTTGCCATACCTGTGTCTGCTCGTCGATTTCCTTTTTGATCCTGTCTCCGAGTACAATGAGGACGGAGATCGCCATCTGCACATCCCCTTGCTCAGCATAGAAGCACATCATGTCCCTCACGACGAGGTTGAAGTAATCAGCGGAAAAGCCGTTTTCAAAGGGCAGCTGTGAGACAGAGACCAGGGAAATGCCCTCGGTCGGCGTCAGTGAGACCAGGTCTGCTTCGTTGCCACTGATGTGGGGCGAGTCTGTCTTGTCCTGGAAGTGATCGAGGGTTGTCGGGTGATCGAGAATTTCATGTCGCAGCGGGAAACCTTCCTGTGGGAGGATGAACTCGGAGTCCTCTCCTGTGGGATGGAGGGGATGATGGAGCAAAATGAGTTAACCTGGAAGGATGCTCTCCTGTCATTAGGGGAAACTGCCTCTGTATCTTGGTACAAAGACCATTAGAATACGATCCCTGCAGTGAGGAAGCAGGCCATTCAGCCCAAGTTCCTACTGACACCCCTCCTTCCCCACCCCAAAACCTTATATTTTCCATGGCTAACCCACCTAAACTGCACATCCCTTTGATGTGTAATTTAGCACGGCCAATCCACCTAAACCACACATCTTTGGACTGTGGGAGGAAATCCACACAGACACAGAGAGAACGTGCAGATTCCACACAGATGCCTGATGCTAGAATTGAACTCAGGGCCCTGGCGCTGTGAGGCAGCAATGTTAACCACTGAGCCACCGTGCCACCCATTTACTTATCAAACTCCTTCAGAATCTGACACAACCCGATGAGCTTGCTGGTCTCTGCTTTGTTTTACAGAGGTTGGATCAACCTTTCCTGATACTCAGCGAGCGTTGGAGCTGACGCTCACTCACCTGGAGCGTTCTCATGGTCGACTATGAAGAAGTCATCTTCATCACCTTCACCGTCACCGAACAGATAGTCTGCTGGGGCATCACTTCCTTCCGTCTCCTCATTCTCTGAATGGAGAGCAAATACTGAGAGACATCAATCAGAACAAAAACCATCCTATTGTAACACCTCAGTACCGGGGCCCCATGTGTGGAGGGACACAAGAGTGTGATCAGGCCACACCACTCTGCGAGATCTCAGAACACAAGAGCTTGAGAGGAGTAAGCCATTTGGCCCCGTGAGCATGTCCCACCATCTGAGTGGATCATGGCTGCTCTTCCCTGCTTGGCCACCCATGACCCTTGACTTCCTTGTCAATGATATTTTTTCTTTTTATTCACCTGTGGGACATGGGTGTTGCTGGGTGGGCCAGCGTTTATTGCCTGCCCCTAGTTGCCCCTTGAGAAGGTGTTGGTAAGCTGCCTTCTTGAACTGCTGTCGTGCATGGTGCTGGAGGTAGACCCACAATGCCCTGAGGGAGGGAATTCTGTGTAAACCCAGTCTTGAATACAGTTAGCAACAGAGCCTCTACTGCCCTGTGGGGAGAGAAAAAACCCACAAGCTAATGACCTTCAGGGGTCACAGAAATCTGATTCCTTATCCCCCACAGAACTGGATTCTTCAAGACTTATTCTTACTAGATTTCTAGCAAGTGAAAGGTTACAAAGGTTGAGGATCCCAAGGTAAATAAAAGGGGCTGAGGATTAATCAGCCCCGATCTATTTGAACAGTGGAGTGAGTCCATTGTGAATGGCCTATTGTCATTCTTACAAACCACTAGATGTGGCATTGCTGTGGAACTCAAGAAGGGAGGCTCTGGAAGCCATCCACATTAACTTCTCCTGCTATCGTAACAATCACAGGCACAGAGGTCTCCTGCTGACCCCCACCAAGGGGAGGTGACGGCCTGGGGGTATTATTGCTGGACTGTTAATCCAGAAACCCAGCTAATGTTCTGGGCCGGGTTCAAATCCTGTCACGGCAGATGGTGGAATTTGACTTCAATAAAAATCTGGAATTGAGAGTCAAATGATGAACATGAATCCATTGCCAATTGTTGGAAAAATGCATCTTGTTCATTAGTGTCCTTTAGTGCAGGAGGCTTCCGTCCTTACCTAAAATAAAAACCAAAAGAACTGCGGATGCTGTGAATCAGGAATCCTTCTGAGGAAGGGTCACTGGACCCGAAATGTTAGCTCTGTTTTTTCCTTCACAAATGCTGTCAGACCTGCTGAGCTTTTCCATCAACTTTGTTTTTGCTCCATCCCTACCTAGTCTACATGTGACTCCAGACCCACAGCAATGTGACTCTCAGCAGCCCTCTGAGCAGTTAGAGTTGGGCAATAAATATTAGTTCAGCCCTCATCCGTGAATGAATTCTATTAGTTTTAAAATAGTGATGGAAAAGGATAGACCGGATCTAAAAGTTAAAGTTCTAAATTGGAGGAAGGCCAATTTTGACGGTATTAGGCAAGAACTTTCAAGTTGATTGGAGGCAGATGTTTGCAGGTAAATTGATGGCTGGAAAATGGGAAACATTCAAAAATGAGATAACGAGAGTCCAAAGACAGTATGTTCCTGTTAGGGCGAAGGGAAGACTGGTAGGTGTAGGGAATGCTGGATGACTAGAGAAATTGAGGTTTTGGTCAAGAAAAAGAAGGAAGCATATGTCAGGTATAAACAGCATGATTGAGTAAATCCCCAGAGGAGTATAAGGGCAGTAGGAGTATACTTCAGAGGGAAATCAGGAGAGCAAAAAGGGGATATGAAATAGCTTTGGCAAATAGGGTTTAGGAGAATCCAAAGGGATTCTCCAAATACATTAAGTAACTAGGGTGAGAATACAGCCCCTTAAAGATCAATAAGGCCATCTATGTGAGCAACCACAGGATATGCAGGGGGGTACTAAACAAGTATTTTGCATCAGTGTTTACTATGGACAAAGATATGGAGGAGAGACAACGTGGTGAAATAAATAGCGACATCTTGAAAAATGTCCATCTTACAGAGGAGGAGATGCTGAATGTCTTAAAATGCATAAAAGGTGAATAAATCCCTGGGACTTGATCAGGTGTACCCTAGAACTCTGTGGGAAGCTCAGGAAGTGATTCCTGGGCCCCTTGCTGAGATATTTGTATCATCAATAGCCACAGGTGAGGTGCTGGAAGAATGGAGGTTGGCAAAAGACCCAGATATCCTAAATTATCTGCTCCCATTTGCCAGTATTTGGCCCGTATCCCTCTAAACCCTTCCTATTCATGTACCCATCCAGATGCCTTTTAAATGTTGTAATTGTACCAGCCTCCACATTTCCTCTGGCAGCTCATTCCTTACACACCACTCTCTGCATGAAAAAGTTGCCCCTTAGGTCCCTTTTAAATCATTCCCCTCTCACTTTTAACCTATGCTGTCTAGCTTTGGACTCCCCTACCCTGGGGAAATGACCTTGATTATTCGCCCCATCCACGCCCCTCATAATTTTATAAACCTCTGTAAGGTCACCACACAGCCTCCAATGCTCCAGGGAAAATAGCCCCAGCCTGTTCAGCCTCTCCCTATAGCTCAAACCCTTCAACCCTGGCAACATCCTTGTAAATCTTTTCTGAACCCTTTCAAGTTTCACAACATCCTTCCTATAGCAGGGAGACCAGAATTGCATGCAGTATTCCAAAAGTGGCCTAACCAATGTCCTGTACAACCTCCCAACGCCTATACTCGTACTGGACTCAAAACATTTGCTCTGTTTCTCTCTCCACAGTACTGCCAGACCTGCTGAGTTTGCTTGTTATAAAACATAGTGCCACCCATTTCACCATTCTAAGAACATCAAGGTGTTTTCACAATGTCTTATCTCTAACAAAGATATGAACAGTAACATAGACTGTTACTACATACAACCAGTTTACATCTCATTCACACGAAGCTTGTTTCCCCAGTGACATGAGAGAGGGATGAATTTCAGGGCATGGACCTTTTGCAATAAACACAGGCTGAGGGAGAAATATTGAGCTCAAAGAATTGTTAAGGCTGAAATATAGTCTTCTTTATTTCTGTAGAATTTAGGAGGAGGAGAGACGTTGTTACGGAGCTGAATTGATTAGATGCAGGGAGGTTTTTCCCCCTGGTTAGGGAGTCTAGAACCACAGGATACAGTCTCAGGATACAGGGTATGCCATTTAGGACTGAGATGAGGAAACATTTCTTCACTCAGAGGGTGGTCAATCTGTGGAATTCCCTACCACAGAAAGCTGGGGCACTGAATATATTCAAGAAAGATTGATAAAAGTTTAGATTTTAAAGGCATCGGGGGAAGGGATGAAGGACAAGTGGGGAATGTGGCATTAAGATAGCAATGATCATTAGTGAATGGGGGAGCAGAGTAAAGTTGCGAAGAATGAAGAGGATCTCATAGAAACCTATAAAACTCTAACAGGGATAAACAGACTAAACACAGGAAAGATGGTCCAGATGACTGGGGAGTCCAGAACTAGGGGTTACAGCCTAAAGATATAGGGTAGGCCATTTAGGACTGAAATGAGGAGAAATGTCTTCATCCAGACAATGTGGAATTCTCTACAATGGAAAGCAGTCAAAGCCAAAATATCGAATGTTTTCAAGAAGGAGTTAGATCTAGTTCTTAGGGCTAAAGGGATCAAAGGGTGTGGGGGGAGAAAGCAGGAACAGGGGACTGAGTTGGATGATCAGCCATGATCATATTGAATGGCGGAACAGGCTGAAAGGGCTGAATGGCCTACTCTTGCCCCTATTTTATGTGTCTGTATGTTTCTATTACCCCATCCACTCCTCCCTTTCACCTGCAATCTCTAGAATCGCCCTCCCTTGATTATTCACCTGCCCCTAGGTCCCCTGTTGACCTTTGGAATAGGTGCAGTGATAGAAGTGGCCACCACCTCCTAGCGGCGCTGGTGAACAATGGAGAGCTGCAAGCCCCCAGCAGTTCCCCCACCCACAGGGTCCTGGTCCTAGCACCACCCTCTCAAATGCTCATTCTGGTAAACCTTCCCAAAAAGGGGTGACACAGGGACCTTGCCAGCTCTGAGCCAGTGGGCAAACACCCACATCATCTTAAAGTCTTGGGGACACCATCTGCACAGCTCGTCCATAAAATCCCTGTGTGTGAAACCAACATTATTCTGTCTGCTCCTTTGGGCTATTTGGGATTAATGTGTCACCAAGAACGAATTAGGTGATTTATCAGGCAAATTAATGTCTTAGGTTTTGCTGTAAAAGCACAGAGAACTCAGCAAAAAAATGTGCCCCCACTCCACTCCATTTGCTTGTTAGAAAGACAGAGATTTTGAAACAAGCAGGAATCGTTGAAATAAAATTTGTTGGTATTCTAAGAGATTTGGGTCTCATTACACACAAATGACAGAAATGTGTAGTTGCAGCAAACAATGCACGATGTTGGCTTTGTTGTGTTTCTTGCAGGGATTTGGAGTGTGAGAGTAAAGAGGTCTTGCTGCAATAAGAGAGGGCTTCAGTAGTCTTCCTCTCCTAAGGGAGGAGATGTTTGGAGGTGCAAAAGAGGGTCTCTTGCTTCATTCCAGGGAGAGCTTTTCCTCTGAGAAGAGAATTGAGCAGAATGGACCTTTTTCTCAGAGGTTAATGAGAGTTGGTCTCATCGCAACATATAATATTCACAGAGATCTTGACAAACCAAGAGCCAACAGCCCTTGGAGAGAGAGTCTAGAACACAAAGCCATCATGGGAGATGGTGGTGTAGTGGTAAAATCGCCATCACTAATAATCCAGAGGCACAGTTAATACACTGGGAACAGAAGTTCAAATCCTACCAAGACAGCTGCTGGAATTTAAATTTAGTTTCTCAAATGTGAAAGTTTGGTTCAGGGATGGTGACCATAAAACCATTATTAAAGGCCAGAAAAGCCCAGTCAGCTTCACTGAGTGCCCTTTATGGAAGAAGATCTGCCATCCTTACCTGGTCTGATATACTCCAGACTCACAGCAATGTAGTTCACTCTTACCTGCCCTCTGAAATGTGGGCCACTCAGTTCAAAGGCAGTTAGGGCTGGCTAACAAATACCAGCCTAGTCAATGAGCTTATAAAAGGACTGATCAGTTAGGCCTGAGAATGAGAGGGAATTTCTTCACCCAGATGATGGCAAAACTTCAGAATTCTCCATCCCAGAAGCTGTCCGACCACGAGCATACTTGAGATGGAAATATTTTTGAACAATGAAGTTGTTGAGCGATATGGGGCCTGGTCAGGAAAGTGGGATTGAGGTGAAAGACTACCCACAGAAGTTGAAGCAGGCCCAAGGGTCAGATAGATGACTCCTCCTGTTACCTGTTAAGTTGCAGCGAACAAAAGATGATAAAAGGATACCTTCGTTTGTCTGCAGCGAGATGACTGTCGAATCCAGAGGGAGACTGTCTTGTCGGTTCTCCATTCGGCTTCGCTCCAGTTTGGCTTCACCTCCCAACGCAGCTGTACTGTCCTTTAATGTAAAGCTGCAGGGTCAGAGCATGTGGGGGGGGGGGGGGGGAAGAGGGGAAGAGAAATCAACAACAGAAGGAATCCTTTACAAACCAAAGCAACGCGCTGCCCGGCAGCTGGTGATAAAACACAGACAGGATCAGTGAAGTGGGAAAGGTGGTGGGAGAATCCTTACATCCAGTGTCCAAATCCTACCCAAGCTGATAGGAGCGAAAGGCCCCTTTCAAAATATCTCAAACATTTCACTCGTTGAATCCCTTGATGAAGGGATCTTACTTGGTCCTCCTGTGCCAAGACTGCATTCCCTCATCCAGAGCGACAATGTAGTTCAGTTGGACATGTCAGCTGAGGGAGGAGTGTTGGCCAAGGGATGTAGACATGGGAGCTCTAATGGCTCTAACCTGAACCACCAGAAAGGCAGGTCTAGGTTGAACATTCCACTTGAAGAACACAGTACTGGCTGGTAACGTGGCACTCCCTCAACACCGCAGGGTCCCAATTATAGATTTGTACAAGAAGTAACGCAGCTAGAACCCATTCGACTGTGTATATCTCTCCCTGCTGTCTAACTGTGTAAGGCGCTGAAAGGGTTAACACTGAGGAGTGCATTAAGCACCACCCACTACAATGATGTGATATACTTGTGGGCAGACCAGCTTACAGTCTCAAAGGAGTGAGACTTCCTCATTGCCTTTATAACAGTGTCCATCATACCATATACCCAGGCTAATGCTCTGGGGACATGGGTTTGAATCTCACTATGACAGCTGCCAAACTTTGAGTCAGTAGGAATCTGGAATTAAAAACTACGCTCATGGAGATCTCAGAATCGATCATTGTAAAAAAAACTCCCATCTGGTTCACTAATGTCCTTTAGGGAAGGGAATCAGCAATGCTCACCTGGTCTGTTGTGACTCCAGACCCACAGCAATTAGATTGACTCTTAATTGTCTTAACAAGCCATTCAAATGTAATTAGGGATAGCAGCAAATGCTGGTCTTGCCACATCCTATGAATTAATTTTTTTTTAAAAATGTAATTGACAACCAGTTGAGAACACTTAAAAATTAATATCTTGTCCGTGACAAGAGATTCTTCCAGTCAGACCAGGAAGTGATGTTCCTCTTCTGTGCTAGACCCAGCAGACCCTGTCATTTCCTTCACATAGTCACAGAGTCATACAACACAGAAACAGACCCTTCGGTCCAACCAGTCCATGCTCACCATAATCCCAAAATCAACTAATCCCACCTGCCTACTCCGGGCCTATATCCCTCCAAACGTTTCCCATTCATGTACCTATCCAAATGTCTTTTAAACATTGTAACTGTACCTACACCCACCAGTTTCTCCAGAAGTTCATTCCACATGCGAACCACCCTCTGTGTAAAAAATTTGCCCCCATGTCATTTTTAAATCTCTCTCCTCTCACCTTAAAAATGTGTCCCCTAGTCTTGAAATCCCCCATTCTAGGGAAAAGACAACTACCACTAACTCCAACTATACCCCTCATTATTTTATAAACTTCTATAAGGTCACCCCTCAACCTCCTAAGCTCCACTGAAAGAAGCCCCAGCCTATCCAGCCTTTCTTTGTAAGTGAAAGAGCATGGTGGTTGTATATAACAAGGTGTAGAGCTGGATGAACACAACAGACCATGCAGCATCAGAGGAGCAAGAAAGCTGACGTTTCGGGTCTGGACCCTTCTTCAGAAATGGGGGAGGGGAAGGAGGCTCTGAAATAAATAGAGAGAGGGGGAGGCGATGGTAGAAGGTGGATAGAGGAGTAGATAGGTGGAGAGAAGATGGACAGGTCAAGGAGGCGGGAATGAAGCCAGTAAAGGTGAGTGTAGGTAGGGAGTTGGGATGGGGGTTGGTCAGTGACGAGGGAGGAGCGGATAGGTGGGAGAAAAGATGGACAGGTCAAGGAGTTGGGGACGAGATGGACTGGTCTTGGGATGAGGTTGGGGGTGGGGAGATTTTGAAGCTTGTGAAGTCCACATTGAGACCATTGGGCTGCAGGGTTCTGAAGCGGAATATGAGGTGCTGTTCCTCCATCCTTCAGGTGGCATCGTTGTGGCACTGGAGGAGGCCCAGGATGGACATTTCATCCAAGGAGTGGGAGGGGGAATTGAAGTGATTCGCGACTGGGAGGTGTTGTCGTTTGTCACGAACCGAGCGTAGGTGTTCCACAAAGCGGTCCTGCACCTCAGCCCTCACACCCCCTCCCTGCAATAACAACAAAGACAGAATATCCCTTGTCCTCACATATCACTCCATTAACCTCCGGATCCAACGCATCATTCTCCGCCACTTCCGCCACCTGCAATCTGACCCCACTACCAAGGATATATGTCCCTCCCCACCCTTATCTGCCTTCCGGAGGGACCACTCTCTCCGTGACTCCCTCATCCGCTCCACACTCCCCAGTAGCCCACCACCCCGGCACCTTTCCCTTCAACCGCAGAAGTGCTACACCTGCTCTTACACCTCCCCCCTCACCCCCATCCCAGACGCCAAGTAAACCTTCCACATTATACAGATGTTCACCTGCACATCTGCTAATGTGGTATATTGTATCCGCTGTTCCCGATATGGCCTCCTCTACATCGAGGAAACCAAGCAGAGGCTTGGAGACTGCTCTGTGGAACACCTACGCTCGGTTCGTGACAAATGACAACACCTCCCAGTCGCGAACCACTTCAACTCCCCCTCCCACTCCTTGGACAACATGTCAATCCTGGGCATCCTCCAGTGCCACAATGATGCTACCCGAAGGTTGCAGGAACAGCACCTCATATTCTGTCTGGGAACCCTGCAGCCCAATGGTATCAATGTGGACTTTACAAGCTTCAAAATCTCCCCAGCCCCAACCGCATCCCAAAACCAGCCCAGCTCGTCCCCGCCTCCTTGACCTGTCCGTCTTTTCTCCCACCTTACTGGCCAACCCCCACCCCCACCTCCTACCTACTAGCCTCATTCCCGCCTCCTTGACCTGTCCGTCTTCCCTCCCACCTACCCGTCCCTCCCTCGTCACTGACCAACCCCCATCCCAACTCCCTACCTACACTCATCTTTACTGGCTCCAACCCCGCCTCCTTGACCTGTCTGTCTCCTCTCCACCTATTTGCTCCTCTATCCACCTTCTACCATCTGCCTCCCCCTCTCTCTATTTATTTCAGAGACCCCTTCCCCTCCCCCATTTTCTGAAGAAGGGTCCAGACCCGAAACGTCAGCTTTCCTGCTCCTCTGATTCTGCTTGGCCTGCTGTGTTCATCCAGCTCCACAACTTGTTATCTCAGAATCTCCAGCATTGGCAGTTCCTATTATCTCTGGTGGTTGTAAACCTTGCCCATCGAATCAGAGTTGCTTTGATGCACACACATTACCAGTCCTACAAAACCTATCACTTCTGTTACTTATCCAGTTCACTTTTGATTTGCTATTGACCTCCCTCCCCATCACCCTTTCCTTCAGGTGCTGCAGTCACTTGTTGTCTATAGACAAATATTTCCTGGAAATATAGTGCACAGTTCAAGAAGGCAGCTCAACACCACCTTCTCAAGGGCAATTAGGGACAGGCAATAAATGCTGGCCAGCCAGCAACGCCAACATCCCACAAGTGAATAAATAAAAAATATGTACCATACAGGGAGTGCGACTGAAGTAAACCTTGGGATGGTGGCATTGCCTTGAGGAGAGTTTGAAGAAACCAGGTCTGAATTCCCTAGGGTTTCAAAGAGTGAGGTATGATCTGGTAAGAAATTTGTAAATTTCATCAAGGCATGACAAGGTGGGTATAGATAGGATATTTCCCCAGGTTGGTGATTCTAGACTTATGGGGCATGATCTTATGAAAAGCGGCAGGCCATTTAAGACTTCGATGAGGAATCTCTTCACTTAAATCAGGGATTCTTTCAAATCTGTGCTCACCATCATTAAGCAAGTTTGAGACAGAAATCGATAGATTTCTGGATACGAACGTTATTAGGGGATATAGAGATAGTGAGATGATGCAGGAAAGTGGCACTGAGGCAGAGTTTCTTTAAGGGATGTGAGTGTCAGTGACAAAGGCTGGCATGTATTACCCATTTCTAAATGCCCCTGAACTGAGTGGCTCGCTTGGCCATTTCAGAGGGCAGTTAAGAGTCACCCACATTGCTGTGGGTCTGAAGTCATATCGAGGCCAGACCAGGTAAGGATGGCAGATTTCCTTCTCTAAAGGATATTTTTATAGCAATGATAGTCTCACGATCACTGAGACTAGATTTCAATTCTGGATTAATTGACGTGAAGCTAACTTCAAATTACAGATTTAAAGGTCAACCTCCTGAGATCAACCATGATCTAATTCAGTGGCAGAGCGAGTTCAATGGGCTAAATGGCCTACTTCAGCTCCAATATTCCCACATTCCTCATGTCACCATCCTGGTCCAGATGGGAGGTTCCTCCCATCAGCTGCTGTGCCAAGTGGAACACATCTGGGCTGTTTTATTCCTCAGGACCTGAACCTACAGAATGAGATCATGGCAGACAGGGACAGTAATTCCCTAACCCTAACCCTTACCCTCCCTCATCTGAGTTTCCATGGAAACACTGGGGAGAAACAGTACTTTCCCCACCCCATTTACGGTAAAAAAAATCAGCTGTTTAGATTCTGGTGAGTACTGGTTATTACTTGGGCTTAAGCCTACCCCTCCTCAAGACAGAAGAATCAGAGATAGCAAATTATTCCGATGAACCTGGCATTTATAAAGCACCTTTTGTGACCTCAGCACTGCCAAAAGCCCTGTACAGCCAATGAAGTACCTTTGAAGTATTGTTGATATAATGTAGGAAAAGGAGCTGTTGATTTGCTTGTAGAAAGCTCCCACAAGACTGTAACACGATAAACAGCCTGACCATTTGCTTTAGCGATGTTGTTGTGGGATAAATATTTGGCTGGAGACCAGGGAGAACACACTGGCTGTTTGAACTTTGTGAGGGCTCTGAAGCAGATTCTTGCCAAAGGGGTTATCCAACAGACTGATCCACACCTCGGGTTACAAAAACAGAAGTTGCTGGAAAAGCTCAGCAGGTCTGGCAGCGTCTGTGAAGAAAAAAATCAGAGTTAACGTTTCAGGTCTGGTGACCCTTCCTCAGAGCCCTCGAGTTACTTACCCGAGGACTAGCAAATAACGCATGACTCATGGCTATTCCTCAGTGAAAACACCAATATCGATAAGGCAGACAAACTAGTGGCTGAATAATTCTGTTCTGAAGAAGGGTCGCTGGATCCGAAACGTTAATTCTGCTTTCTCTTCACAGATGCTGCCAGACCTGCTGAGTTTTTCCTACAATTTCTGTTTTTGTCAGCATTTGAATAATCCTCAATTCACCAACATGGGAAACGCCTTGTCATCACGAACCAAGGGAATAATGACAAGATTCAATAAAAAGCAAAATACTGAGGATGCTGGAAATCTGAAACAAACATGCAGAAACTCAACAGGTCTAGCAGCATCTGTGGAGCGAGGAACAGAGTTAACTCTTCCTCAGTTCTGAAGAAGAGCTACACCAGACTGGAAATGTTAACTCGGTTTCTGTCTTCACAGATGCTGCCATTTCCCCTCATCCCTGTTCTGAAAGGTTGGCCCCCATTTTAAAATAGTCACCCTAGGTTCCAAACTGCTGAGATATCATCATCTCTATGTCCACTTGGTACAGCATCTTGTAAATTCAACTAGATCTCCTACCAATCTCTAAACTCGAGTGAGTATACATACGAATATAAGGAACAGGAGCAGGAGTAGGATACCTGGCCTGTTGAGCTTGCTCTGCCATTCAATAAGATCATGGCTGACCTTTTTCACGGACTCAGTCCACTTACCCACCCGCTCAGCTTAACCCTTAATTCCATTACTGTTCAAAAACCCTTTGCCTTAAAAACATTCAATTGCTTCATTAGGCAGGCAGTTCCATAGAATCACAACCCTTTGGGTGAAGAAGTTCCTCCTCAGCTCAGTCGTAAATCTGCTCCCCCCCGACCTTACTTTGAGGCTATGGGAATGAATAAATGGGATTTGGGCATCGCTGGCTAAGCAGCATTTATTGCCCAGAGAGCAATTAAGAGTCAACCAAATTGCTGTGGGTCTGGAGTCACATGTAGGCCAGACCAGGTAAGGATGGCAGTTTCCTTCCCTAAAGGGCATCAGGGAACCAAATGGGTTTTTCTTGACATTCAGCAATGGTTTCAAGGTTATCGTTAGATTATCAATTTCAGATATTCATTGAATTTAAATTCCACCATTTGCCACAGCAGGATTCAAACCGGGGTCCCCAAAACATTCCCTGGGTCTCTGCAGTCCAGCAATAATACCGCTGGGCCATCACATCCCCATTATAGATAGATTCCCACTGTCCCTACCAACTATGTAGCAAATCTAATGAACCTCTTCTGAACTGCCTCCATTGTCGTCTACGACAAAGGTCATGCCAGAGGGCTGTACTGCCCCCTTCAGGCACACTGTACCTGCTGAGGTGGGGGGGGGTGTTAATGGAGAGGGCACTGTACCTGCTGAGGGGGGGG